GACCCCGCCCCGGGCCGCCGGGCGGCCGCCGCGCTCCGTGTGGAACTTGCAACGGTCTAGGGGGGGCGGCGGGGCGCAAGCCCGGTCAGCCCCGGGGGCCCAGCGTGCCCCGGGCGAGCCCGAGCACCCAAGTGGCGCGAACGAGGCGTCCTCGCCGAGGGACGGCGGCGAATCGTAGCCCAGACACCAGCCTTTCTCAGCCTGGGCGCGCCGGCGTGCCGGCCCGGGGCGCACGCTCCGGCGGACTCTTTCCCTCCGGAACCAGTGTGCGGGGAAGGCGGGGCGGGGGGGCGCGCGGGCCGGGACGGACTGTGGGCCGGAAGTGAAGCGCCCGCGGCAGGGCGCGCAGGCCCCGCCCACTTCCGTCGGAGGGAACGGCCATGGCGCACATCACCATCAACCAGTACCTGCAGCAGGTAACGCGCGCAGTCAGTAGGGTCTGGAGCGGGAGCCCGGCGGCGCTGGCGAGAACGTGTGGGCCAGGGCGAATCGGTTCGCCCGCTGTGCCCGAGTCCTTGGCCGCCAGAGGGAAAGCGAGGACGGTTGAGCAGGCGCCCCGACAGTGTTGCCCGGGGACCTGGGGGTGCGCCGATGGGCGTTGGCCTCAAGAGAGGGACGTGCGGAGGGGTCCGAGCGGACCCGGGAGGCCTGTCAGCCGCGCTTCGTGGCGGGGGCTCAGCCGCGACTCGGGACAGACGCTGGGAGGAGGTGGAGGCGGCAGGCGGTGCGGCTGCGAGCGCTAGTCCAGCCATCACTTGGGACACGCCTCGGGTTCCCTTCTGGCAGTTAATAGCCTTCGGGAAATGCGTCTCCACGGGAATTCCGCCCGGACAGCCTATAAACGCCAGAGCCATACTTAAAACATGGGTGTTTATGAATTCAAAACTGGCATTCTTTCCACTAAACTACGCTAATTCCCAGAACTAGAACCGTGCTGATAGGGAAAAGAGGAAGTGGATTTTTAAAATGTCTGAAGGAAGCATTCCATTGGTGATTTAGAATGTATGGTTGAGGGTCTGGGAGGAGAATGAGCCCCAGGTTTCTAGCCAGGGCAACAGATGAGCAAAGCAAATTTGGAGGGAAAGTTTACAGACACCGTTTTGGACATGTTGAGTTGGGGGTGTCTGTTGACAACCAGGTAAAGATCTTTAGGAGGCAATTTGGAGATAGTCTGGCACGATTGGTGATGAGGGAACAGAAGGCAAGCTGAGGACAGGCAGAAGCTGACACCCCACAACCCCCCCCCCCCATGGGATATACCTGACATTCCTCAGGCACTCCTGGCTGCCCTAAAGGAAAAACAAATAGTTAATTTATAGAGATTATAATCCTGCAAGACATGAGTCTCCCTCAGTTTACAAATGTCTTAGCAATTTATAAGAACAAAGGTTTCCTATCATCAATAACCTAGCTTCCAGAAGGGAATGTAGATACAATTAAATGCCCTTAAAACCTGCAGCCCATTGACAGATTCTTGAAGCGGCAGAGGGTAATGTTCCTCCAGGAAGCTCCCAACTATCTTCATGGTAATGCCTTGCTAGAGGGAAAAACAACCTTAACTTGGCAATGGCAAGGCCTCCGGTATCCTGGGAGTCTTCTTTAACATACAAAAATCCTTTTGAAACCTCCCTTTTCCTTACCTCCCCCAACTCCCAGGTGTATAATCAGCCACCCTTCACAACTCTGGGCAGCATCTTTTTCTGTACCCGTGTTTTATTAAAACCACCATTTTGCACCAGAGACGTCTCAAGAATTCTTTCTTGGTCGTTGGCTCCGGACCTCACCCCACCAAACCTCACCTATATTCCAAAACCCCATCGTTTGGTGCCCAAACGTGGGGCTTCCGAGTGTTTTCATCTGGACTCTGAGCCACGGTGCAAACTTGGTGAGTATTTTCTCTTCTCTTCCTTTACTCTCATTCCAGGGGCTTCAAGGAGTGTGGTGTTATTGGAACACTTTCATGTTGATTGCTCAAGCTGCAATCTTTTAGCCTGTGGCTACTCTACGGGGAGGAGAAAGTCTGCTTTTTGGCTGGAAGTTAGTACCCTGGCTGGGATGGTAATAAGACCCAGAAACTTGATGCCCTCTCTTTACTTCTGTCCTTATACGAAGTTGTCTGTCTTGGGCATGGGACAGCCACCTAAGTCACCAGGACGGCTGCCAATCTTAAGACTCCTGTGTGAGGTTTCCTCCCCCCACTTTTTTTTTTTAGAGATTTTATTTATTTACTTGACGGAGAGAGAGACAACGAGAGAGGGAACACAAGCAGGGGGAGTGTGAGAGGGAGAAGCAGGCTCCCCGATGAACAGGAAGCCCGATGCGGGGCT